GATTACAGAAACAAAGAGGAAATTATAGAAAATAAATAACAGAATCATAATGACAGGAAGAGGAACTTGGGGTTTAAAAATGAAAGCAAGGAAATGAAAGCTCTACTGATTAAAGTAATGAATTTCTTTTTAGATTCTGACCTGTCGTGTTTGTTCTCCTGAGCAGCTCGCAGCAGCTCCTGGATGTTCTTGGTGATCTGCTCAGTTTTGCGGATGACGTCCTCCGTGCTGGGCAGCGTGGGGTCTGACTCCATCTCCAGACTGTCCAGCTCAGGGATGGAGCTGCCCTCCCCCAGCCAGCCACTGCTCCTCAGCCTCCCTCGCCTGCTCAAACTGCAGGAGGAAAGATCATTTATCGTTTTACTCTGCGATTTATCATCTTCCACTTCCACTAATTTACTCTTACCCTGAATCTTCCAACTCAGAGTCGTAGAACGTGTTGTCATAGTCACTTTCCGGCATGCTGCTTTGCTTCTCGAACTTTGAGGCCTAGACGGAAGAGAGAGGGCATAGAATTCACATTCTTCAATGCTACAGATTCATCGACAATGAGCAAGAATGTACATTTATATTTAGTTTGTTGTGCCAACTTCAAACTGTGTGACGCCATCAAACTGGAGTACAAACATGTTAAAGTGATGCAGACGACTGCAATAAGCCAGTACAGCTGTGAAGCAAGAGCACATCATATACATTTACAGCATTTATACAAATATTAGTAAAACAGATTATGAGTTAAGATAAAGTCCTCCTGTCAGTTCGACAGAGCTACTAAAACTGTGTTACACTGTTTGCTTCTTTGTTAAAAGGATTACACAAAAACTACTGGATGGATTTCAAAGATACCTGGATGGGGCATCGGCCAAGACAGAAATCATTACGTTTTGAGGCAGATCTGTACAAAGGGGGCCAATCCAGGATAGTCTTTCCCTTTAACATTGCAAGACAGGATGTTTGCTTGTTTTTTGACAGTTTCACAAATTTCCCGAGGAATAATTCATAGATCCTGATGAAAAAAAACTAATCAGGCACATTTAGGAACCTGACATCTATGAATTTGGGAAATTTGATGCAGTTTAATTGAATTAAAGTGGATTCTTGGTCCTTGGCAGATGCATGTGCTCAACTGAATGACATTCGAGTTTGTCTATGAAAAATGTTGAACACCTAAAGTAAAGGATGGACAAAAACATCAAACAAACACATGGCTCTAGACACTACATCTGAACCATGACACACAAGCTTTCTCCAAATAATAGAGAAGTAAACCCAAGAGGGTTTTTCACATGAGGGGAAGTCAGTGTTCGGATGAGTTCATAAATAAAACTAAATGTCACGCAGCACAAATATGTGTGACACAGAACAGGAGACCTTTGTCTTCCACCAGTAAGAGTTCACTGTCATCTGATATGTTCATTGTAGCTTAACTCACACACATTCAATATCAGACTGAAAACTATACTTATAAACAGGAAGCAGTGCACTCACCCCACACAGCCTGAACGTACATGTTCATAACCTTTCAATATTTGTAAAATAAAATGCTGCACGTGTAAGCTTGCCCGAGGAAAAGCGATTAGTTCATACATGTTTAGATTAGTCTGTGTTCTGCCTGAAGAGATGATCGGTCTGTTAAGACTGTAAACACTCATGGATGACCTCAGTGTTGAGAGCATGCTGCTGAAAGCTCACTGTGCAAAGTGGACAAGCTTTTGTTAGACAGAGTAAAATACGTTTTCTCGATAAGCAGAGGATTTGAAATGTAAAAAAAAAAAATATTGGAAAATTGAAGAACTTAAGATGTATACAACATACATTTAACAATCGAATTCACAAAATACTAAATTTTCCTTATTCTTACAGGTGGTAGTGACAAAAATAAACAAACACTGCTAACAAACTTTGTCCAATCATTCAAAATTCAACATCATCTGCTACACAGGATTCTGCAGCAAACAGAAAGCGTTAAAATGATCAGACGCTGCATCACAAGCACAACTTTCTGCTCTGTGTTCAGGCTGAGGTTTTGCAACACAATTCCACTTGTGTAGCCGCAAAGTGAAGATGATGCTGACGGAGGAAGGTGTCTGGTGGTGAAGGGCAGCCAGTGGAGGGTGGGCTCATGCAGCAGAGCAGAGAGGGGGCGGCATATGGAGAGACATGAAGGCGAGGGACGAGAAAGAGGTAGAAATGGTATATGGCTCCGAGTGGATTTGCCGTGTCCCACGAGGTGTGGACCGAGTGGGGATGTACTTAACCTTTTGAACACTTTCGTCCTTCGACCATGACATGGTTGATGGAAATGAAGGGAGGGATGAAGAGGTGGTCACAAAAGCGCCCCTTTCCGTCTAAAGACAGGGTTCAAATCACATTTTAAGGACACATTTCTTCAGTTTTAAAATGAAAGGTGTAGCGAGATGACGTTAAGACGTCCCACAAACCTCTTCAAGTCGTTTGTGGTTTTATCACATACTGTATATTGAGAAAGAAGCTGATGGAAACAGTGCAATGAATATGAGCATTATCAAGGTTAGAAAATCCTGTTATTTTAGAAGGCATAGTAATTAATGTTATGTGGACAAAAGAGCTTGGTTGTGTTCACAGATCATCCTCCTACATGTGAAGTGAAGAGTGTCCCAGAAGAAATATGAACCTGGGAGTTAATTGGAGTTAATTGTAGGGAGAGAACTACAATAAATCAGCTCAAATATAACTGAAGACAAATCAAAGATAGGTCAAAGAGGGGGAAGGCAGTTTAGTGAGTGTGTGGATTCATCATGCATTACAAAAACACAGAGTATTTGTATGGTAGTTTTAATGCTTCATCAACATAAAACACAATACAAAAAACCTTCAAAGTTTCTCAGAATAACAGCATCTCTTTGTTTGTACAGCTACGTTCTGACTAAGGAACAAGCAGCACTCCAGTAAACAACAGCTATATACACACAACAGTCCTGTGTATACTTCAAATCTGGACGTAATGAAATGTGACTGGCTCTAATTGAAATGCATGAAATTGTGCTTTTTGAAGACTCTGTCTCTGATGCTGCAGAAAACTACCCAAGGTGAGAGTGGAAAAACATTTTGGAGAAAGGTTTGCAGACAAGGTGAATACATGAGGGCAAGTCATGGAAACATAGCAGAGGAGAGGAAATGGCAAAGGAGAGCAGGGAACAGGTCTTACTTACATTCTTACTTACATGAGGTGGGAAGGGTTGCAGGGTGGGGATACCCTCCTCAGGGTAGGAAGTTTCCCCTTTAGGGAGATAGGGCTTCAGGCCTGAGCCGGTCTCATACATAGACATGGGCCGACTGGCCCGTGCAGACTGCCGGCGTTTCAGGGCTGAGGGACTGGAAGGGTCAGGGTAGTCTGAACCGCTGGGGATCTGATAGATATTGGGTGTGACCTGCCGCCTGAGAGACGTGTTGTCGCTTTGCAGAGATTGAAGCTGGAAGAGACGGTCAGCAACAAACTAAGAGGTGCTCTCAGCAAAGCAAGCTTTGTTCCCTGTCCTGATCAATTCAGCCTTTTTCTCCCATTGTTCCTCTAAATATTTATTCCCAGGGGGAGTGAATTTGAATACAGATCTCAAAAAAAGAGAGAAAATAACAAAAAACTACTTTCTGACTTGTCACCCCCATATATATATACTGTAGATATATATATATATATATATATATATATATATATATAACCTGAAGCAGCTTAAATTATAATGATTGCTTGCCTAAGCTTCAGAGAAATATTCTTTTATTCTATATCTATTAACAAATTGTTTTATCAGCTGAGGAGTCTCTTATGATAATATTACCTTGTACATTATCCTCGAAGAATAAACTTGTGCCATTGTGCTGCAATATCCACAGTTTATCATCCTTGTGACTGTTACTGAAACAGCTTGCCATTTTTAAACGATCTAATCTGAACCACCTAATATCACAGCAATAACCAGACTTAGGCTTTGGGAGAGGTTTTCCCTTTGTCTATAGATGCAAAGCAAGTGACAAGCAAGCAAAAGATTGTTGCACAGGTCAGCAACAAAGGTGAAGTTTAAGTCAAAGTGCAGCTACAGTACAGAGAGATTGAGCAGAACAAAATCAAGAAGATTTTGTCAAAGATATACTAGCCTTAATTAATGCAACAACTTGCATTCAATGCCGAGAATGATCTGGCGTACCGGTGTTTAAAAGTAGGGAGGTGAAACTTGAGATGTAGAGGGACTTAGTTATCAACATCTGCTGGTGTCTGCTAAGGGCTGATTTGTTACAGAAACTGTGTTCATATATATAAGAGAAGCCTGCATTAGAAATATGGTAACCAATATCTGTCCTGTCCAGCATCTTTATCTGAATGTTCTCTGTTGAGAAAATGTTAAACCACAAATAACGACTCGCACTTACAGTCCTTAGTATCTATGCATAGACTGTACATAAAGATTGAGGACATGACACTTTCCCCCAAAAGTGAAGCCAAAGCATCTCGATCACCCCCTGATGGCTGGCTGCAGTAAAGGTCATAATCCATGATAGTTTCTGTCATTTAGGTCATTCTTATCACACTTAGGTTTGTTTAACTGTTCATTTCCCCAGTGAGTTTAGATTTATTAAGTTAGTTGATGCTATAAAAAAAAGATTAAATGTGGTTAACAGCTGAGACCAACTTGCCATTGGTCGATTGCATGTATCAACAGGACATCGATACTGCAGCTCAGCTCCAATATTGTGCAGAATCTGGCTCTAAATTATGTCAAAAGCACAAGATGGTGGCAACTATATCCCAGATATTTTATCTTCCTTTTTGTTAAGATGTGGAGGATGCGTCGTCCATCTTTATATACAGTCTATGGCCTACCCCCAAAAAATGAGAGACAAATTATCTGCACCCTACTTCCAAACAACCAAATTAAAACCCTTTTACATGTCAAACAAATATGTAACCTCACTGTCAAGGATTCATTCTGACAAAACACGTAGCGGTAACATGTAACATCTGTGGTCAAAATTATATAATGTATAAATATATCTCACAAATCAGCAGTTTGGTGGAGTAACACTATTTCAGACTTTGAGGAGAGTGCTTTCTATGAAATTTCTATGAAATGTAACTAGTTAAAAACATGTCCAACAATGAATCCACATGTTAATAGCTAGAAATCATCTAAAAACATTCTATGCAGTAAACACAGTATATGTGATGAAGCAAGGCACACACATACAATTTGAGTTAGTGACTATAACTATGAATGGATAAAACCTGTCATGCTCTTGAAACATGCTTGTTAGTAACATTAAATAGCATAGTTATAACTATAATTTATAGATAACAAGAAATGTGACTAAACTGTGTTTGTTATGAACTGGAGTGAAGGTGCACTTGTTCTTCTCATATCTACAAAACAAACCGACACAAAAAAAAAAAAAGCAGTTTACATTCAAGCTATGAAATTGATCATGCTGGCCAAAACAGAGGGTGGACCAGCAGGGTGTCACAGCAGCTCGGCCCTCACTATAGCCCACAGGCTGGGCCTCCACACCAGAGAGCGATCACACTGGGCAGGAGAAGAGCTCTGCTGACCGCTGTGGCCCCCCCCTCAGGCTGGCCCCCGGTGTTAGTGATCTTAAGGGTGGAGCTCGGTGGATACCTTTTTCTGCATCAGCCTCAGCTCATCGCTCAGGTTGTTATTGGCTTTCATGAGCTGCTGAATCTTGGCTTCAGAGGCAGAGAGCGCGTGTTTCACCTCCAAGTATTCGTGCATAGTAATGGGGCTGTCTGAGAGGTCAGAGTCCAGACTCTGTGGGATTAAAAACAAAAACTGTAAAGACATCTAGAGAGAGACACGTGTCTGCCATGGTTTTAATATGTAATGCTATGATACCTTGGTCCTGTCTCCTTTGCTCGAGGGGAGCTCTTGATCTGTATCCTCGTCAGACGCCACACTATCATAGTCAGGCTGGTCCTCCTGGCTGTCACTACAGTGTCTGACAGCCACACTCTTCAGGATGAGTTCAATATTGTCTAGAATGAAGGGACAGAGTCAAGCGGGAAATGTCCAGTCCCAGTAAGACCTAAGACATTAGATACTGACCTTTGGGACTGGCCACTGAGTTCCCTTGTTGTCTGCGCTTAGCATCACTTAGTATGTCGATCACCAGCGTTGCAAATTCATGTGCATTAAATCTTGCAAGTTTCTGTCGTCCCTGATATGAAAATAGAAGGCCAATTTATTTTCAAAATTAATCCGTACATATCAAGAGAAACAATAATATATTAATAAAGGGGTTCTGTGAAGATTACTTGCCTGGTTTCGTGTTGATGAGTACTCTGGATTCACAGGCAGGAAAGGCACCACGGTTGTTTCCGTCACCAGTGTGCTGTGATTCTGTGTGGCCAACCACACTGCAAGAAACAGAAGAATGAAATCAGTAATGTCCAGATCAAGTCAAAATTATCAGAGATAGGAACCAGAGATTCTCTTTTGCCATTTTAAAGGTTCAGCGTGTAGAATTTAGTGACATCTAGTGGTGAATTTGCATGTTGCAGCTGAATACCCCTCACCTCACCCTCCCCTTCCAAACATAAAAGAGAACCTGTGGTTCTTCAGTTGTCATAAGAACTCAAAGGGTTAGTTTGTCTAGTCTGGGCTACTGTAAAAAAAAACATGGCAGCCCCTGTTGAGAGGACCCCCTCCTGATGTAAATATAAAGTATTTAAATATAAAAGGTCCATTCTAGGGTAACGAAAACAACTATTTGTACAATTTAGATGATCACATGTTAGGATTATTTCATAATCAATTTATACCACCTAAATCTCTAAAAAACACCTTTACTCTAGTGTATCATTGGTCACAAGCATACAAGACAAAAAGACTTGTACCTGCATCTGTCTCTCGTCGGTCCACCTCATCATACACGTCCATGGCCAGCTCCTCGAATAAATGATTACTGAGCTGCATCAAAGTCAAGAAATTACACTTAGTCCCAAATTAGTCACCAGATGGAAAAAAGCTCAGAACAGTGAAATTCTACAACTGAAAACCACAACAGTACTTACAGACTGTAGTTTCTTCTTTGCTGCTTTGGCCAATTCTGATAAGTCTAAACTGCTGGGAACAAAAAATAACTCATCATTAATAGCTGTTGAGAAGTCAACAGGATTTAAACTTCAATCTGATGAATACTTACATGTTCCTTATTCATCGTAAGAAAGCAATAAAAAAATATCAAATGAAACATTTCAGAGGAGGTTAAACAGTGTTTTGTCTGCCACAATATACTTGTTTGGGATTAGAGCTGAGAGGAAAATACTTTTTGTTTTAATGAAATATTTTCAGCAATTACAGAGCTTTTAGTTTGACTCTACTAACTCACTGGGTCTTTTATCTTCAGCTCATATAACAGATGCTGCAGAGAGCTCAAGAGCATGTCAGAACGGGCCTCAGAGCAAAAATCCAATCATAAACAACTGCCTCACTGCTCTCGCTCTGCATGCTCCATCTAAGTCAAACCATATCAGATATGCACATGTTCATTCAAAGACAAATCGCTGAATATTGACTCACATCACGCTGATTTACAGCTCAGGCTCTCTTACCTGTCGGCCATTTGTGGAACAATGAAGTGCTGGCTGTTTTTATGATCTGAAAGGAAGAAGAGGGAATTGGAGAACTGCCAGAATCATTGCTGACACTTGAAACACTTTTTTGAGCACATTACATAGTTGGTATTCACAAATTAAACTGACTGGGACATTGTGTTCACATCCTGAAATTAAAAGCAGGTACAGCATCAAAACTACCTCTCTGTCTCTGATTAAGCAGAACAATCACAGAAATAAATACATGTATTCTTTAGCCTATTTCCTTTTGAATACATGCATTTCAGTTCCAGATCTTTCTCACCTGGTTTCCTCCCACACAAGTAGAATGCCAGTCGATCAGTTAGTTCATACTGAATCTCCACCAGTCTGTCTGCCAGGTCATGTTGGCCAGCTTCCCTGAAAAATTATTTTTAAAAGAACATTTCAAATTGGATAAATGACTGAAATTTGCTAAATATTTTATATTAAAATTTGTTTATTGAAAGTAGCTTACCTTGCATAGTCGATGGGAGTTTTGCCATTGCTGTCAGGGGCTCCAGGATCTGCCCCATAAACAGTTAACAGTTCAGCCTGAGATACTTGCCCTGCCTTCGCTGCTACATGCAAGGGAGTGTTTCCCTTTTCCTGGAGTAGAAGCAGATTCAAGAGCTCAAATCAACAGGAAAGCAAACAGATGAAAATGTATATGAATTTATATAAAGAGGGTGAATCTTACGGGGTGAAAAAAATTTGCTTGTGCTCCGAGGGATAGCAACCTCAAACAAGTCTCCAGATTCCCGGTGCGTACACTGGAGTGAAGTTGCTGAAGAAAAAAAAAAACACTATTAGTATGAATTGGAAAATGTATGAAAAAAGTTTCCTACAAAAACATACAACACTTTACTCATAATCACTGTGAGCAGCCATTTCTCCTCACCTTACTTAGATCCTTGGCTGTCAAGCTGTCGTCCTCTCGGCAAGGCATGCGATGGACGAATGCCAGCATTTGATATTTGGCTCTTATAAATTCTGATTTGTTTGGGCTTTTAGTACAATGAAAAAAAAAAGCAGCACACATTAACACTATTTATTATTATAATTATGATCATTTTAAGTTTAACAACCAATAAACAACCAGAGAACAAAAGGCTCTGTAATTATTTCAAACGTATATGACTCACTGCAGTTTGTCCTGAGGGTTGGCCTTGCGTTTTCCGCTCATCACAGATGCAGGGTCCAGGAGGGAGTGCTCCCATATTGAATTGGAACCGTTGCTGTATAATGTCTGAACCATCTAAGTGAAATCAAAGAGAAAAATGTAAAATGCATCCAATTGATTTTACCTATAGAATGCTGACTGTCAATTCTGTTCTCAAACAAATACTTTCTATATTTGGACAGAAATGAATACAACTCAGTTGTCAAACAGATTTATCTTGGGCAAAGCATTGGGGAAGCTAAAATCAGAACTACAGTAATAAAGATAACATGATCTCAAGGTGTTTTAAGAAACAGTTCAGCCTCTGACAGCAACAGTAAACGTCACCTCTGAGAGTGTAAAGATCCCACAGAATCTAAAAATTCCCACTGAGGTGTTATTACCTGAAGCTGTGTAGGAGGCCACGGTGTGTGCGTCAGGTGGCGGACTTGGGAGCTATGTCTTCCCAGACTCCGGTGAACACTGCAGCACTCATCACAAACCAACACGCCCCTGTTCACGGAGGCCCAACGAGGTTCTGACAGGGATGAGAAATGTGTAACAGTTCATCTGCTCCTCACATTGAGGATATGCTGATTTTAAAGACGACAGTAGGACGACAATAACCTTTTATTTATCATGTTCTCAACCAACTATTACACAGTGGTACTTACATGGTAAAGGACACAACCAGCAATTAAAAGATCCAACTAACAAGTGTTTTCTGTGTAGACAAATCCTCACGTGACATATTGTTCTGTGCCTTAGACCTCAATTGTCATCTAAAATTGATCAAAAGGCAACAATGAGCCGCACCATTGTACTTAGTGACATATTCCTTCATGTTTATGAATTCATGTCTAAAAACAGTCCCCAACAAATACAATGTTTACACCTACCTGAGTAATGCACTGTTTTAAGGGACTAACTGAGCCCTTTTCAAATTGATATTCAAACTTTTGACCTGTACATATTGAAAAAATGCAAATCAAGATCATAAGGGGCAAAGAGCAACAGACAGGGAAGGGAAAATGAGAAAGAGAGACGAAAGAGAAGAATCGAGAATAAGTGCCTGGCTCAGATCACAGGAAGCATTATTTTCATAACAGTAAACACAAAGTAAAAGTAGTGTACAGACTCTATGACAATAGTGATTCAAGGCCATACCCCACACTGTGAAAAAAGGAAGTGTAGACTAACAGTTGTAGGTGGAAGCACACCAACTTTATTGTTGAGCAATCAAGCAGCTTCCCCTTTCAATACATTGTTAAAAAAAAAAGATATATATCCTAGTGCTGCATTATCAGGCAATGCGTGGTGTTAGAATTTGAGAGTGCAGAAGATACAGAATACTCTGTGCCCAAAATAAATATGTGTACTTAACCTTGACCTATTTGGAACACTTCATGTACTACAAATGCCTCAGGGTTGTGTTGTCTCCCATCTGTACTGAGACTCTGGTGGCAGCAAACATCTCCAAAAATATGGTATATTCATATGCCACTCTGATAGCCAATTATCTGTTGAGCACATTGAGTGTCTGGCACGGTGACAGCACAGACAGTGAGACTGTAAGTGTCTTAGCAGCAGCTGAGGTGTAGGAGGAACAGCTGCGGGGGTTGCTGGTCAGATTCTGACCTGATCCCCAGTTTTCAGCGACTTCTCCGAACTTACTCGCCACCAAGACATGAGTGTTAGTGCTGACATGCCTCTTTTACCCTTTCCTCAACAAGTGCTGCTAAATTTAATACCACATCTTTGAAACTATAAATATTCTCGTCCAACAACTGGCGACAGTCGTACGGAGGAGCAATCCGTGCCAGCTGCTGTGGAGACCAAGGGGGGTTTAACTAGCTTTAATGACCTGATGAGAAACAAGGTACGAAAACTTGACGAATCCTGAATATTTGGCAAACTGATATGGAATTACAATGGTTAACCCTCTCTAAAAACAATCTCTCACGTTGGGCCATATTCACAAAACATTGTGGTGCCATTATGTAAAGAAAAAAAATCATCTGCATTGAAAGTATGCGGTTGATTCACTCAGCATCCTGTTTTGCTTCCTGTGCCTGCTGAAAAACATCGCGTCACTTCTATATAAATGGAACTTCTAAAAGCACCTCAGACAATGCAGCTACTACTTGTTCATCTTTCACAGAAACAGTAAATTGCCGAAACTTATATAAACTTTTCTCTCTTTCCTAACAATCTATTTTTTAAAACCAAAAATATCTGCTCAAAGGTGCTGATGTTGCTGTGATGCCATATAATGGACACAGTATTACATTTGAGTTTAAATTTAAAGTCTAATATGGCTATGTTTTGCTATAACTTGTTTCTTTTATCAATTTCAATTCCCATTACTTTTGAATTATTTTGTATTCTTCTATTTGTTGTATTTGCTTTCAGATGTTGTATTTTATTGTTTTCTGATTTTAAATGCTATAGTGTTACTGTATTTTACTTGTTGTCTTTAATGTTTTATTTTCTTGATGGAAATCCTAAGATTTGGATTCCAGATGTATAATTATACTTATTAGCACCAAACAAGATTCTGTAAAGAGAGTTATCTGTCCCTAATTCATGTTGAAGTGGATATGAGTAATTTCTTAGAGGCATCCCTCATGAAAAGTTAGATCAGCATCCACAGTCTTTGTGTGTTATACTCTGTACCCACTACCTTTTTAAATGGATGATGCTGTCACCCTAGTTGTTCTCCAGACATGACACAGAGCTTACAAAGCAGTTTCCTGCTGCTGATCTGGGAGGAGATATCAGAATTGGAGATTCAATTTCAGATCGACTGGAAACCTCTGAACGTCGCATAAGAAACACTCATGAACATGTTGTTTGTTGTTCGAGACAAACCTGGATTTAACATCTGTACATACAAAAACACATTTAAAATCAAGCAACATGGATGGAAACAGAAAAGAAGAAGAAAGCTGCTACAGGTCTGATTGAAACCTGAGTCCAGGGAGGTACCACGTTAGTGAGTGATCTGTCAACAACACTGACATCCTGCCCAGTCCAAACACGCAACTACATGATCCACATTACTGCACAGTGTGTAAACAGCTTGAACCAGCAGCGATAATCAGATTTAAGTCAGAACAGTGGAGGCTTATTAAGGACCCACACCTCAGTGGATAAATAAAGGCTAGCAGCTGAACCCCGCGGGGATGGCGTGTGTTAGCTTACCTGGGACATTACAGTCAGCGCAGAGCTCAGTGTTTCTCAGACGTTTAGACATCCTGTCCTCGGCTCAGGGGGAAATGTCTCTTCACAATGAGCAGACTGTGCAGTCCGTTAAGCTAACCATTGATTACTCTGTGTGGGGACGCCTTCCGCGTTAGCAACACCTCGGTTAGCTTATTTCAAACAACCCGAACGACGACCTGCTACTTGTTTAACTTCAGGTTAGCGTCTAACATTAGCACCATTGTTACTGTGCCCAGAGGAGGAAGGTACAATGCTACCACTTGGCTGAGTTAGCACCTGACTAGCTAACTAGTCTCTATTCGCCTGCTAGTCTTCAGTGTGAGTGTGAGTGTGTGTGTGTGTGTGTCAGACAAGCAGCAGGGCTACATGCAGCTGCAGCGTAACCCAGGGGGTACACTGTGCCCAGAGTTTAGCCTCTCAGGTGACACACACCCAGCATCGATAGAATAAGAGACATAACACTCATTTTCTCGTGAGACCATGTTTTCACACTTACAGTTAATATTGAAACATTAACACTTCAATGCACGTGTTAGTGTTTGCTGTGGTGTGAAAACAGCACAACCTGACAGACCAGACTGGGGGCGAGAAGACAGAGAACAGGCGCAGGAGGTGAGTTTGATTTATTCACAATTTTAATCCGGTGATAGTCAATAAAAGTTTTATTTACAGCTGCTGCTGGAGACGTCGCATGCTTGGCTGCAGCTTGGTTAGAGCAACACATCTCACCGATCAACAACTCAATTGTTTTACACAACTGATGTCACTCTTTGGAAAGGATGGAAGAATACACAAGGAAAACAGTGTCAGGCACCAACAGTACATGTACACAACTGACCTCTGCGGGCTATTTATTAAAATCCTTTATTTTGTGTATACATTATGGAGCATATTACATTTTAAACTCCCATTTGTTGTACAATCTAGTACACAATGAATTGCTGGGGGTTACATTTCACACCATGTTGTCTCACTTGAATTGTGTAATTTGTATTAACTGTTGTATATTGTGGATTTGGCCTCAACGTGTGTCCTTTGTTTGTCTATTCTCTTTTTAACATTAACCTGTCTGGGACTGCAGATGAATATGGGTCTAAGAGACTAATTCTATTGTGCTCATATTATTCAATGTAGACTGTCCCTTTTAAATAAATACAGTTCATCTCAACCAACCTGTGGGAAATGAGCCAATATCATTTCGACGTCATGGACCAAACGTTAAATAATGTTTTGTTAATGTTTGTAGGACATAAGAATTTAAGTGACTTCATATATTTAATCAATTAATTGAAGGAATCAAATGTATTCAGGTAGGAACCAGACATGTTAGTCCACCCCCGTGCTGGCAGGTTGAATGGTTGCGTCCAGACTGAAACTGATTATTATTATTTTTTCTTTCTATTTTATTTTAAAGAAACAGTTTGATTACAAAACACTTTTCTATCACAGGTTGACCAAATAAATAACAGGTATCATACATGAACCGGTAAGATGCCTTAATTACATGTAATTGATCCGATAGTGAGTCCGTTTCTCTGTGAGACACCCCTGTGCTCATTGGTTTATCCCGCCGCCACTTCCTTGTTGAAAAGTTTTATTTAGAGGAAGGTTTGGACAGAAGTTGGTCTCCGGTCCTTGACGTTTTTCGACGCTGCTGTTGTCAAACATGAAGAACACGGGTCACACTCGTCGCACAGGTTGACAGTAACAGCGCACAGCTAGCGCAGGTTCCCCATATGGCTGTGACCACCAGAAGCGGGCCAACGTTGCACTGAGAGTGTCCGCACAGAGGAAGATGTCCACGGCTAACGTTAGCGATGACATCCGTGGGAAGTTCCCCCTGCACTCCGCCGTGTGGGAGAACGACTACAGGCGACTGGAGGAACAAGTAACGATAGCGCAGGTTCGTAAACACACTGAGCGTGATGTTAACTAGCTAACGTGCTCGTTAGCTAGTTGAAGCCAGGGTCGAGCGGTTAAATCTGCGGAGCCGGATAAAGTAGGCCAGTCGTGTTGACAGATGCTCAGTATCATTGTGAAAACAAAGAGCCACAGCACCATGGTCAACAGGTTGGGAAGTTTAACAAAACATTTATCGTAGACAGTGCAGCTGTCCTAGAAATCACCAACCCTCCACTGTGAGCAGATGAAACAACGTAAGAACTGTTTAACCAAGTCAATCTATACATGTCTCGTGTATTGTGCACCTGACCTGGGCGATGTGGCCGAAAAGTATATCAAGATGAAAATGTTCACATCAGCTCACATCGATAATTATCAGGATAAATATTGTTAGATAAACATTTTGTTTAAGTTTAAGTCTGATTTTTGCTCCTGAGTGAAGGTTTTGGTTTTAAACTCCTCTTTATGACAAACATTTGATAAACAGCAAAACATCTGACAAATATGAGGTTGATCAATTGTGTTCTACCCCCCCCACTGTGCTTAACAATATATATACTGCTATGTATTGGACTTTTCTTATATTGTTATGGATGATAGTCGCACACCAGTCAAACATGCAACTAATGCTCACATTTTTGTTTTCCTCACACCGTCACAGTTAATAATGTGTGTTGTTGCATTACAGTCACTTAAATTGTTAGTACCCAATAATGATGATCAAGAACACACTGCACCACTGCATTGTGACTCACATGATGACCACAGATGATATCAAGTTTTGTCACTGTACAGAGTCCGACCACTGACTACAACCTGTGTCATTATCAGTGTTGACCTAAATTAAAACCTACGAGTTATAATATAAAGGAGAGCAGTTTTATATAGCCAACACACTACATGCTTTTCCTCATAAAACGGGCTGCACCCTCACTACAGTATTCTCTACAACTAGGTGACTAGATTTTATTATCATGTGTGAAATATTATTATAAATGTGCAGGTGAAACGTGACCTTTTCCTCTTATTTTCTCAGAATGACATCGAGGCCGCGGATCCCAGAGGTCGAACGCCTCTGCACTTGGCTGTGTCACTGGGGCACATGGAGTCTGTGAGAGTCCTTCTGAGACACGGTGCTGAAGTGACAAAAGAAAATGCCTACAACTGGACAGGTCAGTTATAAACCTGGCTGCAGACAACTCAATGAATGCCATCACACTTTCAATGTGTCACTCACTTCCCTCGCAGATATGCTTTTCCAGGATTTATGGGTTGTTAGATCACTTAGATCCCTGTGTTCATTAATCTTCACATCATCTGCTGTTAATGGGCTTTCTGGTTTTAAAAAAACGACGCCCATCTACTCCTCAGAGGTTTTTAATGGACAGTTGCTTCTCCTGGCAAACAGATGCTGTTGCCGGAAAACATTTAGTGGTTTGTATAGACATGTCTGTCTCTGTGCAGTGCTGCAGGAGGCGGTCAGCACCGGAGATCCAGAGATGGTTCAGTTAGTGCTTCAACGCAGAGACTACCTCAAAGCCTCCACTGCACTGGGAGGAGTGCCTGAGCTGCTGGCAAAAATCAGAGAGGTTTTATTTCATATATTTTCTTATTCTCCTATCATCCAGCTGTTAATATTAATGGAAACATTTACTGGTAAAATAAATAATTGATCTATTGTTATTTTTTTCCCACAGTCTCCAGACTTCTACATGGAAATGAAATGGGAATTCACCAGTTGGAGTAAGTTTGTGTCTGTGTGTGTTTTATGACGTACAGGCTGGTTATCAGCAGTTCACTGTGTAAAAAAAAAAAGTTATCTGCAAGTGTATTCTAATGCAGAGTCCAGTGGTTAGATATTATATTTGCACAAAGTCAAGAGGTTTCATGAGGATATACAGGAAAAACGACATACTTGCCTCTTGGGAGGTGAAGCATTTGTTTCGGTTTAGTTTTAGTTGACCTCGTTTTTCATGTGTGGATACTTTTCTTCCCTTTGTTGAACATTGATTTACTGTTGCTTCACAGTCCCTCTTGTCTCCCGAGTTTGTCCAAGTGACGTTTGTCGCATTTGGAAAAGTGGCGCCAGCCTACGAGTGGACGCCACTCTTTTAGGCTTTGAAAACATGACATGGATCAGAGGGCGCAGAAGCTACATCTTCAGAGGGGACGGTGAGTGTCTTAACTCTCCCACACAAAAAAGCTGTCGTTGATTTGTACCATTTCAGAAAAGTGATTTAAGTCTGTCCCTAATTGTATTTTGTCCAGATTCATGTGCCGAGCTGATGGAGGTGAATCACGATGATGAAGTGGTGGACACAGAACGCTTCAACATCTCCCAAGAAATTGAGGATGTCACGCTAGAGTCAATGCAGCCAGCTGAGCAGGAAGTTGCCAAAAGGTTGACGACTCCCATTGTCAACACCTTCCTGGACACCAAGGATATCGCTTTTGAGAGGCAAGAATCACATCTGTTCTTCTCTTGTCCTTTTTCTCAGAACATGCATCACACTCAGCAGCACTGACAGTATTTCATCAGAGTTTACATCTCATCATATTCATACTTCTGATGTTTTTCTACTGTTATCATACAACCACTCACTGAGATGATTCCAACACTGGCATTTATAAAACACCCCTTATGCTGCACTTCATATTTGTGTTCACTGTTACAACCAACTGAAGAACATATCAGTGGATTTTGCCTGTAATTATGTATTTTATTTTATTTTTTCACAGGAACAAGTCTGGGATATGGGGCTGGAGAACTGACAGAACAGAAGTGGTCAATGGATTTGAAGCAAAGGTCACTGAAGCTATACATTTATTTTTTTAATTATATTTAAAGTTTTTTCACTGAAAGCTTTGCAGCACAACAGTTACAGCAGTATCTGACATCAGATTCTGGTCGTCTGCTCAGGTTTTCAGTGTGAACAATGTAAATGTGGTAATCAGGACGAGGACAGAGCATCTGACAGACGAGGAGAAAGCCAGAATAAAGAGTGAGTGCAAATATTAATGTGTTACTTTCCTGTTTTTGTATTAATGTTAGATCATATCTAATGGTTCATTTCGAGAGTCATAGAGAATTAAAGTTGGATTTTCTGATAAAAGGTGAGAGGAACGTCCTGGAGTCTCTGCTGGGGACTGTGGAGCAGCACATAAGTGCACAAGGGGTGAGACATGCATTCATTCATTTAAAATGATGTATTCTGTTCCCACCTGGTGGCTCATCTGATACGACTGCTTTGACTTCATAGGATCTTACTCTTGAGTATGCAACTGCCACCAATCCCACTGCCATCACTCCAGAGGAATATTTCGATCCCGACTTTGACCTCGGGAACAGAGACATCGGCCGACCCATTGAACTCAGCATTAGAACCCAGAAGTAAGAGCCACCGTTTTAAGTTTAAAATAACCTCATACGTGATTTCTCACAGCTAT